TCAAATAAAATCTCATACCTTTGCATTTTCTCAGGTTGATTCTCTAGAAAAACATTGATGTTTAAGCTAGCAAAGAAGCTGTGATTCCTGGATAATGCCTTGGATTAGTTAAGCAGTTCTACACTTTTAGCCCTCTGTAGTTTTCTGAACATTTTTCACATATAGAATATGCTATGTGTTAACTTGATACATAAGTGGGGGATGGGCAGGCATATTTGTAGGTTTGTTTTAACAGCTGAACTGTATTTTGTATTGCTTCTAGTGGAAGTATAGCTACGTAAAGAAGCTATAATGCTCAACGACTCAGAAATTTTGTACTTAATCTATGAGCAATTCAGTGATTTTTACCAAGCTGAGCTGCTGGTAACATCATCACAGCTATTAGAGACTGATTTTCTCAATTTCAAGGCATGTTCCATTCCTCATGATAGGAGGTGATTTTTTCCTAATTTCTTGGCAGTATTTTTAAGAGAATGTATTCTTCTCAATGGGAAGCGACTCTGTTTGTTTGTTTGTTTGGCTGCACCGGGTCTTAGTTGTGGCATGCAGGATCTTTAGTTGCAGCATGTGAACTCTTAGTTGCGGCATGTGGGATCTAGTTCCCTGACCAGGGATCAAACCCGGGCCCCCTGCATTGGGAGCGTGGAGTCTTAGCCACTGGACCACCAGGGAAGTCCCTGCTTTCTTTCTCTTGAACTTGCCTCTTTGCCATTTGGTGTGCTGTCTCTTACATCAGTGCCATGTCATCAGCCCCATGATGCCAGTTAAGCCGATCACTTTATGAATTAATCATCTACTGGCTGTAGAAAGTACCATCAGCCTTCTTGTATTCAAAGCTAACAGTATTGGTAACAGAGAGTTTTATAAACTCTGATGAATCTACTTTTCTTGAACATTCAGATTACTGTTGATCAAAATGTTTGTAATTCCTCACTTCCTTGGAAGATGAATGCAAGTTTAAAGGGACATTTTCAAATTTTGTAGCAAAGTGATAAAGGGAAGTTGGCTTTTTAAACCATGTTTACCAAGCACACGTTGTGTGAAGAAAGAAAGGACTTATTCCCTATAAAACCCTGGGCTGTTGGGGGTCTGGGGGTCTGCTTAGGTTCCCATAGGACTTGATGTTTGCCTTTGTCAGTTGCTCAACTGGTACATTCATTCATCTAACAAATACTTCTTGAGTGCCTACTGTGTGCCAGGCTAAGTGCCAGGGATATAACAGTGATCAAAACTCTTTACCGCATGGAGCTTGTGGGTACAGTGAGTGATAGGGGGAGAGACAGACAGCAATCAGACAAACACATTATGTTGGGTACTGATATATGCTCTGAAGGAGAACAAAAAGCATAATAAATGGATAGAATGTGACTGGGGAAGAGAGCTGCTGTTTTAGACAAACTGACCTGGAAAGTTCTCTCTGATGAGGTGACATTTGGGCAGAGATCTAGAGGAGATGAGGGAAAGAGCTAGGCAGACATCTTAGAAAAAGTGTACCACGTAAAAGGAAGGTCTCTCTGAGGTAGTGATGTATTGTACATATCTTTAGTTTTCACTTTGGCCTTGTGCTGAATGTAGAGACCTTTATTGCAAATATTTGTGGAATACATACAGGTAGTCAGCCTTTTTCACTTTAGGTCTACTTCAGGTGCTCTCTGCAACCCTGGTACTTGGAGAATGAGCTATGGAGAATGTAGAAATGGGACCAGGATGCAGATTATTTAAGCAAAAAGCAACTCTTTGTTTAGCAAAGCCTAGGTTAGTAGTGGACTTCCTTCTGCATGAAAAGATACCCTTATAACAGGTATAACAAGAAAGAGTATTATCAAGTAAACCTGTTTTGTTTTGTTGTTATAAATTTATTTTATTTATTTTATTTTCGGCTGCATTGGGTCTTCATTGCTATGTGCGGGCTTTCTCTAGTTGCCACAAGCGGGGGCTACTCTCTTGCGGTGCGCGGGCTTCTCATTGCAGTGGCTTCTCTTGTTGTGGAGCACAGGCTCTAGGCGTGTGGGCTTCAGTAGTTGTGGCTTGCAGGCTCAGTAGTTGTGGCTCGCAGGCTCTAGAGCACAGACTCAGTAGTTGTGGCGCACGGGCTTAGTTGCTCCACAGCACGTGGGATCTTCCAGGACCAGGGCTCGAACCTGTGTCCCCTGCATTGGCAGACGGATTCTTAACCACTGGACCACCAGGGAAGTCCAGTTTGTGTCACATTTAAATGCATTTTATTAATCAAAAAACATTTTATATATGTGAAGAATACATGTGAATATGGGATATTATTTATTCAGGTCACAGATGATGGTTGCATGACAACATCTAGCACTGTGTAGAAAATACTGAACTCAATAAGTACTAGCATCAAAACAAGGTTCATTATAAAAACCTTAATATTTTTTTCAATAAAGGAATATTTACAATATCAGATCAGTCCTTTACAACTATGTTTTAGCTTCCAGTCTCTAGTCATTCATTCATCCAATATTTATTGAATGCTTTCTGCATGCCAAGTTCTGTTCTAGGAGTTCCAGATTGTCAAAGCCAGTAAAACACTTGTAGTTGATCACATTAGGTTCATTACTCAATGCAACAAGAAAGAGTGTACACCATGAGGAACAGTAGGGCCTCTTAGGAAGCGAGTGTTAGAAAAGTCTTGTAAGATTTGGGCTTGAGTTAGGTGATTTGTGGAAGGGTTTAAGGAGTAGGGCCTTGCTGGGTGCTGTTAGCAGATGGGGGTAATTTTATGACTAAGCATGTTAGTAAATCTTATCCAGGAAGCCAACATGTCATTGGTTAAGAGGCAATAGTCACCCAAATCAGCCAGAATGTAGATGTTGGTCATTATTGTGATTTGGACAATATTTATATTCTGTCGGTGTTCAAACGTGATTACAGAGTGTTTTTGTCTCGATATATCGAGGTCACACAGTGGCCTTGTTTGATGTTGCTGTTCTGCGAAATTGTTCATGTTCTACAGAGCGCCGGTGCGTAGCTGCGAGTGCTGGGCCAGCTCTTGAATGTCAGGGACTGCTTTGCTTTTTCTCAAGCTACAGCTATCAATAAATAAATAAAAATCCCTGCCCACATAGAGCTTAAATTCTAGTGTGAAGAGAGAGACAGTAAACATAATAAATTTATCATGTAAGTTAAAAGGTGATTAGTACTATGGGGGGACGCACAGGATTGGGGGGAATGTGTTCAAGAGAGAGGAAGTGGCAAGGTAAATCAAGGTTGGTCTCACTGAGAAGGTAACAGACAGGTAAGAAGCTGGATCGAGGAGTAGGACTTTATATCCCCACCATTGTAGGAGCTTCTTTACTTTCAGAGATAAAGGAATCCACTGGAGAGTTTGAACAAAACAATGATTTGATTTGACTTATTTTCCAGGATAGCTACTTGGGCCATTGTGTTGAGAATAGACTGCAGGTCAAGGGGAGAAGAAGCCGGGAGACCAATTAAAGGCTTGCAGAGTGGTCACAGTGGAGGGGCTAAGAAGTGATGTGGTTCTGAATGTATTTGAAAGTGGAACTAGTAAACGGTGCTTAATAGATTGGATGTGGCTTGTGAAAAAGAGAAGAGTGAAGGATGAATCCAAGATTTCGGTTCTGGTTGATCAAAACGATTTTGTTGCCCTTTCCTGAGATGAGGAAGACTTCAGGAGGAGCAGGTTTGAGGTGAGGGCAGGTCAGGAATTCAGTCTTGGATGTAAGTTTGAAATATGCTAGACACCCAAGAGGAGATATCAAGTGGGCAGTTGGATATATGGGACAGGTTTAGGCTAGATATGGGAATTTTCAGTGAATGGGTTATATTAAAACCACAAGACTAAATGAGATCACCTAGAGAGCGAGCATAAATAAAGTTCCAAACACCGAGTGCTGGAACACTCCAACACAGAGGGCTCAGGGAGAAGATGAGCCTGAGAAGGAATGGCTAGTGAGGTAGGAAGAAAATCACTCATTTCAAAAGATTTCTTGAGTACCTAAGGGGTACCAGGCACCAGGGTAGATACTGGGGTTGCAAACATTGTGGGGCCACTCACTGAGGTAGGGGACATGGGAGGAAGCAGATTTAAAGGGAAGGTTAATGAGTTTGGTTTTAGACATTTTGAATTGCAGGTTGTCCTGTGGGACAACCAGCAGGAAGTTGGAAATTTTGGTCTGGAGCCTAGGGAATTCAGGACCAGAAAGAGTCATGACCATGTGAATATATTTAGCTTTTATTTTTTTGAATATTTATTTAATCCTTAGTAAATGGCCACATTCAATATCATAAATATACTCTGGAGAAGGTGATAGTGATATTTAAAACCATGTAAAATATTAACCCAAAAAACTGTGACACAGGCTGGCCACTGCTTATATTTAGTTTCCCTAAGGGTTTCCTGTCTTATACTTAATTGGTCTTCATTCGCTGAAAATCTTTTGAAAAGTTCTTAGTTAATATCCATTAGAAATAGAGCTTATCAGCCACATAGCGCAGGGAGATCAGCTCGCTGCTTTGCGACTACCTAGAGGGGTGGGATAGCGAGGGTGGAGGGAGACACAAGAGGGAGGAGATATGGGGATATATGTATATGTATAGCTGATTCACTTTGTTATAAAGCAGAAACTAACACACCATTGTAAAGCAATTATACTCCAATAAAGATGTTTAAAAAAAAGTTTCTCCTTTACACATACTTATATATAAATTTACTTGGACTAATTAGTAAAAAGAAAAGCATATATATTTAAAAAAAGAAATAGAGCTTATAGCTTGTAAACATTCTGAATAAGATCGTATTTTAAAAGGGAGGGTATTTTAATATGCCTTACAGTATGTTAGTTTCTTTTCTATAGTGGTCAGTTAGAGTGACCTTATTTACAAAACCTCCTTTGCTGTCCCAAAAGGTGTGAAAGGAAACTGTCTTGTTTTAGCTTGTGATTTTTTTCTAAACACTTAAATATCCTCTTGCAGATGACTGTTACATTACCGTTCTCTTCTGGGGTTTGTCATTACAGCCACTGTATGATGCCGCTTACCTTACAATGTACAATATCTGCTTCACGTCCTTGCCCATCCTGGCCTACAGCCTACTGGAACAGCACATCAACATTGACGCTCTGACCTCAGATCCCCGATTGTATATGTAAGTTGAACATATGTAAGTTAACCCCCCGCCCCAGACTTTCAAAATTGTGGATTTCATTTTATCTACAGGTAGGAAGGACACAGAACTGCCCTCCTGGTTCGATTACATGGTTCTGTTCTGGATTTTTAGCTACTTAAACCAAACCATCCAGCTGGAAAATGATGTATTTCCTAGGTATTGATATATGTCCTGTAGTTGAATGGGTATGAATTATTTAGTTCAAAATCAGTAATTCCTAAAACTTTGCCCACATTGTCATAGAGTTCTAGAGTCTTAGATGGAGACACAATAGTTTAACTACCTGCCACCCCCCACCTCCCCCAAGAAGGGCCACAGAAAGATCTCTTGTAGTTTAGAATATTGATCCCTCCCTGTAATGGATTGAATTGATGATGTTATGTTAGGCTTTCTCTTGTAAACTGCCCCTGAAATATAGCCTCCCGAGTGCTTTGTTAGCCGCATTCTAAAATGGCATTGTTGAAGAAAACAATTAAGTCATCAAGCCATTATATTCATTTTGTGTTAGTTGGAAATAGATGCTTTTCTCTATGGGTGGGGGACTTGGCACTAGCCCCAGCTGCTTAACCTTTGATTAAATTGGATTTTTATAAGTGAAGCTTACAGCTAAAGATAAAGATATTAATTTACAGCAGGTTGTAAGCATTGCTAAATAGTGGGTAGCAAGTGCAATAGAGAGACTTGGGTGTGATTCATTGGTGCGAAGTGAAGGTGCACAAATTTAAAGGATGTCTTTAACCAGTATGACTCATGAAACTCACATCTAGGAATTGTTAGACTTAACCAGGTTTATAAAATTAGTTGTCATTTTAAAGGTATTTATTATAAAAAGTTTAAAACATGCAAAGAGTGTAGCAAAAATACAATTTATATAGTGAACTTCCCTGTCCTTACCACTCAGCTTCAACAATTATCAATTCAGGGCCAATCCTGCTTCATTAATAACCTTGTCTTATCTATCAAGGACTTATTTTGAAGCAAATATCAAACTATATAAAATAGTTATTTCAGCATGTATCTTTTACATGTACTGTTATAACAGTACACTATCATACCTAAAAATATAACAAGTCATATCATCAAATATCCAGTCAGTGCTCAAATTTTTCCAGTTGACTCAATTTCTTTTTATAGCATGCTTGTTTGAAACAGTATATAAGGCCCATATACTTCAGTTGGTTAATATGCTTCTTGAGACTCTCTTAGTCTGTAGGTTAACTTGGCAATTTATTTGTTAATGAAACCAGATAATTTATCTTGTAGCATTTCCCCCAATCTAGAGTTTGCTGATTGCCTCCTCATGGCGGTAACATATTCTGCTTTTCCCTGTATTTCTTGCAAAGTGTATTGTTAGATCTAAAGGGGAATCGTAGAAATCTTGGTAGAAATCTTCCAGAGCATCAGCTCTCACACCCTCTTTTTTTTAAAAGAATGAGGACCCAGGGCCCAGAAATGACTTGCCTAAGGACACAGCGTGTAACAAGAGGCCAGAGCAAGATCAGATTTCTATCCTCCTGATGACCGGCCCTGTGCTCTTTTCCACAGGCTGGTGGTTTTCAAAGATTGAGTAGCAGTGTTCTGTTTTCAGACAACAACTAAAGTGAAGACCAGTAGTGCAGTTACTCTGGTTGAAGAGGGTTTTGGGTGGCAGTGAGCAGAATGCCTCCTGTTCAGTCCCACCAAGAGCTCTAGCTAATCGCCTGCACTCTGATCCCAGCTCTGCCACTGACTCTGTGGCCTTGCTCAGGTTACTTGACTGAGATGGGCCTCAGTTTCCTCTTCAGTAACAATAGATCCAATCACAGTGTTTTGGGGGAGGATTAAATGAGTGACTACATGTAAAAACTTACAGTGGTGCCTGGCACATAGTAAGTTTTCAATAGATGGTAGCTATTAATCTTACTATTCTAACACCCTTCTCCACATAACTTCAGGGCTATGCTGAGCACTTTCTTTTTGTTTGTTTGTTTTTGGGTTTTTTTGGTTGGTTTTTTTTTTGTGTGTGTGTGGTACGCAGGCCTCTCACTGTTGTGGCCTCTCCTGTTGCGGAGCACAGGCTCCGGACACGCAGGCTCAGCGGCCATGGCTCACGGGCCCAGCCACTCCGCGGCATGTGGGATCTTCCCGGACCGGGGCACGAACCCGTGTCCCCTGCATCAGCAGTTGGACTCTCAACCACTGCACCACCAGGGAAGCCCCGAGCACTTTCATACATTAAGAAAGTTGAAAACTTGAAGCAAGCCGTTGAGTACAAATTATTAAGGGTTTCCATGAAATTTTAGTTACCGCATGCAGGTGTAGGTCATGAATTTTTAAGCAATGTTGCATAGAGTGCATACTTGCCACATACAATGGAGAAATGAAAGCCATAGCATACCTATCACCCAGCCCAAAATGCAGCTTCCTGCCTGCCCGCTCTGATGAGACTGTGCTCTCAGCCTGTCACTGTATTGGAGATTGCTCTGTTACTCTGAGCATTCCTTTGTAAATGTGAAGCTCTAGTCTTCATATGTGTCTCTCTCTGCATTTGTACCACTTAATGTTACTTGTGGCCTTGTGTAGCATATTAATATCACCTTCGGGGACTTAGTGACACAGGCGTTTACCAAAAGTCTTGATGTGAAATGTGACATAATTGGATCTTTTCATATTTTTTGAGAGAAATTTGAAAAGTAAACTGTAGTTCTTTTCTAGAGGGTAGAGGCATAGTCTGTTTCTTATACAACTTTAAAAGGCAAAAGAAAGGTCCTGGTACACCTACTGTCTCCCATTGTATGGAGGTGCTCAGGCCTGTGCTGCTGGTCAACCACTCCCCCCCCCCCACCCAGTCTTCACTCCCTCGTGTTGCCCCTCACGTTGGCTATCATATTCTGAGTTAACAACAGGTTCATCATTCACCTGAGCGCAGCTAGAAAACCTCAACTATAACCCAACACACCATGACTCCCCTTCCTTTCTTCCCATGGCATGTAATGTAAATCCAGTGACTGGCTGGAAAGACAGGAACCACTTCCTGCCTCAGCCCAAGTCAGTGACTCTCAAAAGCCTCATTGGCTGGCAGTTGCTGGGCCCTCCTTGCAAGGATCTTTAAGGGAGGTGCCTTCCCTGTGGCTCCCAGTTGCCTTGGGAACACGACTTACTGGCTGTGGGGAGAGCTTGTTTCTGGGAAGCAGCTACCTCTTTCCCCCTGCAGTTTTCTCAAGGCAAACAGCAGCGTATTGCTTTATGCATCCCCCTACATTGCTGATTTCTGTGTGCACCTGGAAATCCTAGTAGGTAAAAGTTGCATAATTGCTATTTTTTCAGGAAACCCTATGGCACTCCATACCAACTGAACAAGGATCAGTTGTATTTACATCACAAAGGTCTTTCTTATTCATTACAGCCCAGTGACATTCTTGGTAGTATTGGCAACAGGTGTGCTATTTAAGTGATTACATACCTTTTGATAAATGTTAAGAGGAATTTGAAATAGAAGCTAAAAGAATTCCATGCACAGACCCATCTTCTTTTTGCCCCATTAGAGTTGTTAGCCTTCTCCAACATTCTGACTTGTACCCAGAAGACTGCTATTTTTGACAGATGTTAAACTTTTGATCTGGCCACCTGCCATTTATCAAAGCATGGCTGTACAGCTTCAAACATGTTATTTGACCCAATTTTTAAAATATAAAGGCTACCCCAAGACCTAAGAAAGGTTAAATTCCCAGGCAGAAATCTTGATTAAACAAAATATTTTAACAATCATAGTTGCAAAGCCATGGTAGCTTGGTTAAGAGCATGTGATTTAAAGTCAAATCAGTCCAGGATTGTATACTACCTCTGTCCCTTACTAACTGAGTGAACTCTGGCATACTGCTGTACTAGTGGTTCCCAAACTTTACTGCACATTACAATTACCTGTGGAGTTTTAAAATTATCCTGGTTGCCCAGGTTACACCTCATGCCAGTTAAATCAGAATGAGGGTGGGAGCCAGACATCAATGTTTTTAAAGATCCCCTGGTGATTCTAATGTGCATCAAAGTTTGGAAACCATTATGATACACCTTTGTGAGGCTCATTATTTGTAAATGGTAGTGATAAGAATACCTATCTCATGTGGGTTTTGTGTATACAAAAATGGACAATATAAAACTCTTAACCCACTTTTATAAGCTTATAATAAGTACTCAGTAAATGAGATCTAATTATTATTGATGATATTACTATTGTCAGTGGCCAGAATTTTAACTTAGAAGCACTTTGACAGTTTACTGCAACACCTCAGACAGGAGGTGATTGCACAAAGACAAACCTGCAGCTCGGTCTGGGCTTTTATCAAAAGCTTACCAGTCCCTCAGGGATAGCTCCATTCATTCTAACAGGGTCAAACCCCATGCGCACTTTTGGCGTTTCACTGTATCTTTAAATAAACAGCCTACAGAGATTCATTAACTTGTGTTTCTTCCCATTTCTCAATAGGAAAATTTCTGGAAATGCCATGCTACAGTTGGGCCCCTTCTTATATTGGACATTTCTGGCTGCATTTGAAGGAACAGTGTTCTTCTTTGGGACTTATTTTCTTTTTCAGACTTCATCCTTAGAAGAAAATGCAAAGGTAAAAAAGAAAAACATCATTACATCTTTTAGTATTACAAGCATGGCTTAATTTTTTTTCCATAGGCACTGGATCTATCATACACATACTCTAGCTGTAATCATTTTGCAAATTATTTTTCTAAAGGTATGGTATTTAGTTCTCACAATGTCCTCAGAACAATAGAAGTGTTGAAGTGAGAAATCACTTCCTGCATGCACGGCTAACTAGACAGCTTATGTACAAACCTCTGGAAGCTTAACTTGGCTGTAATTTTACTAGATGAACAGAGTTCTTGGGATTTCAGACTTTGGACCCGTACACTTTGATGTGAGCAAGGCTTTTCCTGTTTTAAAAGAAGTGTCTGTCCCTACTCAGTTCTTACTCATAGTGGCCTTCCATGCTTAGAGTGGAAGGGGGTAGCTGCCGTATGTTTGCAGTATTTGCCCGATAATTAGGGAATTCCCTTCTCTTCCTCCTTCCTTTCCACATGGGAACATAGTGTTTTCTAGAAAGACTACACAGATCCTGCCAGTGTCTTCCCAGCCAGCGACTACATAGGTCAGCACCTGCATTGGGGTGATTTTGCCCTGGCTGTGCTCTAGGAGAGAATTGCCAATGGGGTGAGGTCTTCCGGCAGCCACACAGTGGAAAATCAAACCCACCACCTTGCATGCTGCTTTCACTATGTTCTTTGCTATTTCTGGGCTTCCTCTTTTATGGTCATTCATTGGTTATAATCATATGAAGCAAAGCAAAGGTTCAAAAAGACTTTACTGAGCACACTGACTATGTCTAGAGCCGAGACAGTCAACATCTGTTACAGAAGTGATAGGCTCAGTGAATTTGAATGATACTTTGAAATTAGGTACTACAGTTAGAACCTCTCTAATTTGGACTAACAGAAATCAGTTTAGTATGAATCCATTAAAATTATTAATCACTGAGTAACTGCTGAGGAAATACAGATCTAGTACTTTAGAGTAGACACATGTAGCATTTGCCAGGGAGACGGCCCTACTAAATCTCTCTGTGCATCCTCGGGCCAGTCTCTTCAGTTTTCCAAGTCACCTTTACCCAACAGTAAGAAGAAGAAATTCGATTTTATGATTTCTCAGGTCCCTTCAGCTTTATGACTGATTCTGTAACTCCAACTTTTTATTTTGTATTTATTTGCCACATAAATTGTATAGAGCTGACTGTACCCTCCTGCAATTCTATTGACATGGTTCATTTGCTCAGCAAAGTCTACTGGTGGTGCATGGGGAGCCTCAACCCACCCTGTGTCCAAGTCATCACTCATTTTGAGTTCATGAAGTCCAAATGAATTAGATTTTATTGTATATTGTTTGCTAAAATTACAATAAGTATAAGGACTACTATCAGCAATTAAATATAACACCATGTACGATTTGATCAAATCCTTTTTTTGCTATTAACCTTAATTTTTGTTTTTATTTTTTTAAAACCTTTTACATTTCATTTTCTGTTTTAATGTTATGCATTCAGATCTTGACAGCGTTTGGTAAGCATATGTGCCATTCATTGCCATCGTTTGGGTTTATATACATGGTATCTGCTTTTCTTTGATGTGCACATGCTGACAGCTCTAATATTTACAGCCACAAAATTAGACTCTATTTTATTTGTTTTTTTATTGAGATATAATTGACATATAACATTATATTAGTTTCAGGTATATAACATAAGGATTCGATATTTCTATGTACTGAATGGTCACCACAGTAAGTCTAGTTACCCTCTGTCATCATATACTCTATTTTTAAAATGTGAGTTCATTTGTCTGCAAATTAGTCTTTATTTATAGATAGAGATCTTTAGGTCTATATTATAGGAAAAGCCTATATCAAACTCTTTAGATACAGGAGCCATCCAAATGAGTTGTTTTTATGAACGTTACTGTTAGTGGAATAGGGTTTTTCCTGCCTGTATCACACCAGTGTGTTCCCTGTTTTATGCTTCATGGAATCACGAAATAAACCCTACCAACCACGCATGTGGTGTACCTCTCCAAGAAAATTTAGGCTCACAGTAAAAGCCAGCATTTTGGCCTAATCTTTTGAGCAGATACTTCCCTAAACAATTTATACAAAAATCTTTGGCAGTTACACTCAAGATTAAACTTGGCTGTTTATTTTTTTAAGCAAGCTTGTGTATTCATGGTACGTGTAATTGTTGAATGTTTTTCAGGTATATGGAAACTGGACTTTTGGAACCATTGTTTTTACAGTCTTAGTATTCACCGTAACTCTGAAGGTTAGATTTTTATTTATTCAAATATATTTAACACCATTTTTATAATACTTTCTGGTCTTATATCTTTTTTGTCTTCTAATCTTTATTTTTACTGCGAGTTGTTATTCAAGTCTGAATGCTTACTAAAGTTATGTGTGATATTAGAGATTTGGACATTTATATACTATTTGTGATCCATTTTTTCCAGTATATTGCCTATCCTCTTTTTTTTAATACACCATACTTATATTGGAAATCTGTTCCTTCTTTCCTGCTATTTTTGAGATGTTAAGTGGTATATAAATGGGCTGTGTGTATGTGTGTGTTTCCATGTTAAGTACTTGAATATTTTTTAAAGTTATATATCTGTTTAAGAATGCCAGTCCTTAAAGGAATTTGGGTACTTAAGACAGTTGAATATAGGTGTCCATGAGCAAGATATGTGTGCGAAAGAGCTTGGTAGTGATGACGTTTTGTATAATGTATTCATCACTGAAATTTACCCATATTTGTGATGAAATGCATAAGAATATACAGCAGGTAACATACAACAAAGGCAGTTTTGGCGAAATCATTGGCATTAACATGCAGCCATGTAATAATGCTGCGTGCTGAATACTACCCTTGAGGTTCATGAGTTGGGACTCCCTTATAGTTGAAGGTATAATTAAAATTATTTTGATCATTCCAGTAATAAACACCTCACATGGGGTTCAAGAATGAGTACCTTTAAATGAATTCCAGTATGCCCAGTGGCCAGAATTAGAATTCAGAAGTATAAATGACAAAGGACCTCTAATCATTTCCCCTCTGAATTTTTATACCTGCTTCATTTCTCGTACCGAATACAACTAACATGTTTGCATTATTCATCTACTATTTCAGTAATATTTTAGGACTGCAAAAGAAAATGTTACAATTCATCTCAGTTTAGCCACTTACTATCTGGATGTCCTTGGGCAAGTGACCTTGTTTCTCAGTACTTACATTTCCTCTTCTATAAAATGGAGATAAAAGTACCACCCACCTCCCTTAGGATTTTTTTTGTGAGAAGTCAATTAGTGAATACATTTAAAGCAGTTAGAATGGGGTCTGGCACATAGAATGTGCTCAGTACAATAGATGTTAGTTGTTATTTACTATTATGTCTCATAGGATCATGATTTGAAAGGGAATCCTCCCCACCCTTTTTTACCCCTGGCCTTGCACATGGCCCCAGGGCTTCCAAGCACCCTTCATAGCTAAAGTTGGCCTTGCTGCAGCAACTTTCACCTGTCCCTCAAAATCCATCCACTCCCTCTTCTCTTCATGGGTATTACCGTGGCATGTTCCCTAGCAGCCGGAGGCTGGAAATTCAAGACAATGTTATCAGTATCCTGTTTATAAGTGAGCAACTGTTAACAGATTGCTGAGGAGCAGGGTGTCACAGCAAGTAACAAAACAAACACCACCTCCTCTTCAGAAATTAAATGCCCTGGATATTAGGCCATGTGGCCCAGAAATTTTAAGCAAGCAGAGTGGACCATACTTTTTATTTTTAGATTGCATTTGAAAATCCCAGGTGCCACAATCTGAAGAAACAAGCAGCCCTGGAAGAAACATGAGAGGATTTAAAATCTAAGGCAACTGAAAATGTTATTAATTTAATGGAGTAGATACGGACTTTGCAATTGAAAAATTGCACACTACATAGACCCACAATCCATGGCTCCATGATGCCTGACGTGTAGAGCTAGTTGCCTTTGCATTTAGTAACCCTCATCTGTTGTGTTTGAGCCCTCACGACTCCTTTGTGTAGTTTGTCTTCTCTTCCTAGCTACTCTCTCCCTCTCCTCCTGCTTTTCAGTATACCTGCCTCCACCAGCCAGGCCTTCTCCTTTTGCCGTCAGCTCCCTGACAGCCACCACTTAAAGACGTGGGGCTCCAGTCTCTGGGATGTTACCATTACCTCATTCCTTGCCCTTCCTTCAGTAGTGAGGCATCTGCAGCTGTACTTGCTTGACCACACCTCCATGCCTGTACTCCTAGAGTCTAAATGCCTGAGGGCAGAGCTCTTTGAAAAGTCTGGGTTCTGTTCTTCTAGTGCCATTCTCTTCTGGTTGCCTGGCCCAAGCTAGATCCTCCCACAGGTATCATATTGTGTATAAGTTGTCAAATACCATCAGATACGGCCTGGTACAGTTTGTACTCATCATGAAATCTCTTGTGTTGTATCCTTTCAGCTCGCCTTGGATACTCGTTTCTGGACATGGATAAACCACTTTGTGATTTGGGGTTCTTTAGCGTTTTATGTATTTTTCTCATTCTTCTGGGGAGGAATTATATGGTAAGCTACTGTACGTAAATAACAAAATACATATATAGGTACATTGTATTTGCAAACATTAATTATACTTTTAAAGTTTTGATTATATAAGATGGCAAGTCTTCAATATTAATGGACTGGAAGTTACTTCTAGCCAGTAATGCTGCTATTTCAGGTAAGATTTCAAATGCAAGTATATAGACTGCACCAGTTACTCAAAAGACCTCCCTTCTGGTAGCCCCTGTCCAAATCTTCCGACCTGAAGGTGTGTAAACATCTCTCTGTGAAACGAAACTAATTTCTAGCATGACCTCCCATGTGATTTCCAGTAGAAATACTCATCCTATGAAGTTTCTACACAATATAGTGGCCAGTAGATACAGTATTATCCATTTGGACCCTGTTCTCTCTTTATGGTATATTACTCTCCTTCTTGTCACTACAGATGTGCTCAAGAGATAGAATATATATCACTTAATACTCAGAGGGTTATATTTGAAATCACCGTCCCATTGTTTTGGGGGAGGTAAAGGTAGACTCTCTAGCTTGGATTTAAAGTTCATTCTGTTCATCTTGGTTCAGTAGATGTTTATTCAGAATCTGTTTTGTGTGAGGCACTCTATGGGATACAGAAATGAATAGACTGCACCCCTGCCTCAAGGAGACTAGAGTCCAGTGAGGGGCACATAAGCTGTGATTGGGGAGTTATAAGGAATGAAAATAAGTTAGATTTTCATCTCCTTTCCTTACTCCCAGAGGCCTATATTTTGTTTTTTAATATCACAGTTTTCATTAATCGGTGACTTCCCCTGACAAGGATGCCAGCAGCAGAGACCAGGACTAGAGTAAGCCATAGGGTAAGATTCTAGGAGTACATATTTTCACTGGTTTGAGCAAAATCATACGTACAAAACAGTCCCTATTATCACAGAGATGTGGGGACCACGCTTATGTCCCTTGAGACTTAATTAGAAGAAACTCTTACTGTTTTGGAAAGCTTTTTAAAATAAAAGCCTCAAGAAATAAAAATACGGACAACCTAATCACTTATGGAAGTAGCAGCTCCAGAAAGTATAATTACAGCATTTATTTGACACCTATGTAAGTAATTATTGAAGCAGTGAAGCTGAAGGAAGTCTGTTTTCTTTAATAATATACAAATGAATCAAAGTTGATTAACCAAATGTAATACACAATTGTAAGGTCATAATTCTGTCTAGGAACCTGTGTAATCAGTATCTAAACTAATTATGCAAAATTTCCACGAGAATGAAATGTTTCTAGCAAACTAAAGTTTCTCACTCTTTCCAGACTATTCCTTATTGATTAACATAAATCCTTTAAATGATTTAAGATATTGTCACACCTGTTTCTATTCATTAGAGATGGTTACTAAAAATGAAATGTTAATAAATCTTTTTTATTTTGTTGCCTATAGTGCTATCCTTAAGTAGACCTGTCTGAGTTGAGCTACTACATGAATATAAAATTTATATTATAAAGCAACCAAGAAAATGTGACTAGAAACTGTAATACTTCAGCTGAATGCTGATTGCAGCTAATCTCCAGACATGCTCAACCCTGAGGCATTGTGACTCACCCCTCTTTGGGGGATGGGCAGTGAGAATGATGATTTCTGATCCCCAAATCCCATCCAGGAATAATAATTTTTGTTTTTTACTGCTCCTCTGCAAAACTCCATAGATGCCATCAAAATCAAAAAGAAAAATGTGGAGCTTTTAATCACAGAGAGGGTACTGTGCCAAAGAATACCCTGTGACGACTAGGTGTCAATTGTCTGCTGGACCCTTATTGTGCCTCAGTTAACTGCCTAGAAGATTAGTCAGGGTGCCCTTCTGAATCAGAGTGGGAATAGAGCTCTGTAGAAATCTTTTCTTTATGGTAGGAACCCTAGAAACCTTGTTTAGCCTGGACCTCATAAGTTTCTCCACCTCACTATTGTGCTCACAATCTATTCCACATATATTCCACAGTCTAGTCCTCAGCTGTGTAGAGCCACGAGCTTGATTTTATCATGTTACATGAGAGTGCACAAACATGAATGTTTAAATGAGAAACCAGTTTATCTTCAGTGAGCACTATTTGTGATCTACTAAATGGCACCAACCACTTATCTACCTAAGGCTCCTCATCCAAGGACAGTCTGATGTATACCCCAACCTTGAGCAGCTGCTTTGCACTTCCTCCCCCTCAGCTTCAGACAACGTTCATCCTAGCCTAGTGAGGCTCTCTGTGGTTCAGCTCCGGCAGGGAAGGGAAACTGGCTGGACTTCTCAGTGGTCGCCTAACAGTTCAGTGGAAGACTGAACCCTGCAGAATGAGGCGTTCTCCTGGATTTCTGGACCCCAAGGCTTAATGTGTGATTAGCAATATTCTTCTGTCAACCTACTTGGCACACACTCGTACTCAATATATATTTGTGGATGAGAATGGTAGATTCCTCCCACTTGAGAGAGAAAATCTCTACAGTCCTTGTTATGTTTACATAGGGGTTTTGTGGGCGGGGGGGTGGGGAGTGGTAATAAAAATGTCTTTTAAATTTCCAAATGTAGGCCAGAAATCCTTTCTCATATTAAAAAAACAGCCAAGGAAGTAAAATGTTTGTTAGCATAAAAATTAATCATCATTTCTTGTGAATATCTCTGAAGCTCCAGCATTTTCTTTTTTTTAATTATTTTATTTTATTTATTTTTGGCTGCATTGGGTCTTTGTTGCCGCTGCGCGGGCTTTCTCTAGTTGTGGCGAGCAGGGGCTACTCTTCGTTGCGGCGCGCGGACTTCCCATTGTGGTGGCTTCTCTTGTTACGGAGCATGGGCTCTAGGCGCGTGGGCTTCAATAGTTGTGGCGCGTGGGCTCTAGAGTGCAGGCTCAGTAGTTGTGGCGCACAGGCTTAGTTGCTCTGCAGCATGTGGGATCTTCCCGGACCAGGGCTCAAACCCGTGTCCCCTGCATTGGCAGGCGGATTCTTAACCACTGCACCACCAGGGAAGCCCTCCAGCATTTTCTAATGCAAATAAATGTTCTCCAGTTGGCAGCTTTAAAATTGATCGCTTAGTTGTTTTCAAGTCAAATGCATTTTAGCATCTTTTTTCCCCTTTGATTATCATTCCTTTTCTTTCTAAACATTTAGTAAATGAAATCGGTTTACTACTTCTGGGTCATCCTAAAGAAAATTATTTTTATTAATGTACATAACAAGGATTCCTTTTAAATACAAAAGTTTCAGTTACACTACTGTTTCATATAACAGGAACTGATTTGTTTTTCCATTATGTATTTTCTTTCCACTCTAGGCCTTTTCTCAAACAACAGAGAATGTATTTTGTATTTGCTCAAATGCTGTCTTCTGTATCCACATGGTTGGCCATAGTTCTTCTAATATTTATCAGCCTTTTCCCTGAGATTCTCCTGATAGTATTAAAGAATGTAAGAAGAAGAAGTGCCAGGGTAAGAACTAAGTTTATATTACCACCTGATTTTTGGAAGGGGCTTCAATATCTGCCGTGAACTAAAAACTTTATTTAGAGAATTGCATTAGTTACAGCATGTTAAACCCCTCCTTACAGGTTCATCACTTAATTTCCTCTTCTGCATAAAAAGTATAGTAAAAAACTTCGTTATCCAATGCAGGTGGTAAGTAGATTCCTTAATAGTGTTCTATGTGACCTTTAGCAATCCATATGGAGTATCTCATATGCTCCATATGGAATTTTAAACAGAAAAAAATGATTTTTTTTAATTTAACCTAGAATTTTCACACTGGGAATTTCCACACCAACATTCCAGCTTTAACCTTAGAAATTTCCCCATGGGTTGTTTGCAGATTTTTTTTTTAGTTGATAATCCCAATTTGCCTCTTTCAAACCTTTCCCCTTCCTTTAATTATAGTGCTGCTTAATCTCTGTGTTGCTTCTAGCCCTGTCTGTCCAGCAGTATATTTGAACCAAAAAGAGAATTCCTTGGATGTGGTTTCTACATCCTTCCCCTCTTGAACACACTTGTAAAAATTTGAGATTGTTTTATGAGTGTGTTTTTATTTTTGCTGCTTATATGGCAAATTTTTTGCAGGAATGAGAAGTTATTACCCTCTGTCAGCCTAATCGCTTGGCCCTGCATTGTCTGATATCTTTTGAGCCTTTCTGAAAAAGCCTTTAAACTGAAAGGGATAGATTAGCCTTGAAAATAAAACTTCTGGCAAATTTTGACCAACATGTTAATTAAATATGTCATATTCCTACCAACACTAGCTCATTTTGCCAAACAAAACCCTGTTTCGATCATATTGACACCAATTAGATCTTGTAGCCCCTCCAAGGCAATATTTTCAAGAAGTTAGACTAAGCTATATCTACCTGATCTATTTCATTAAATTTGCCAACCATTTTAGCCACAAAACTGGCTTGCCTTGATTTTTTTTTTTTCTATTGATTGATTCCAGTGGTTGGCATCATGCAGAATAGGGAACTAAAATGATTATAGTGGGAAAATCTTCAGTGATTAGATGTATAAGAGAGGAGCTTCAGCCCCACTCAAAAGCAGTAGATTATCAGTGGCATAAGCCACATTGATTCTTGCTATACACGGCCCAATCACTATATAGTTAGGTGGTCAGAACTGGCCTTAACTCCCTGCTTCTGCATGCCTTATGGGTGGAACTGCACACAGTAACGTTAACCTAAGACTGGCTTAATCTCTCTCTAATCCTTCCGGTAGACCCCCCACTAACTCCCTCCAGCCTGATGTTTAGTCTTAGAATGGAAAAGTGGCATTTACTTGTCTGATTATACCTTTAATACCAGTTGAACAGGGATAAAACAGGTTCCTCCCAGAATGGCTCAAGTGGCAATTTGCATGAAGCCAAACAGAAAATGTCACAGTAAGAAATCTTTTGGTGCCTTGTTGTAATAGAGATTTGTCTAGGAAGGATCTCCTTATTTGGGAGTACACTTTGAGGAGTTCCTCGATGTTTTTCTTATTTGGGGTAATGGAGCTCATGCTAAATAATGGCTCACACCCAGCTTCATGCTGTAAAGATGAGACAAAAATCTCAGAAATCAAAACCTTCAAACATATCATCTTATCCTCTTCCTTAAGCCCTTTGAAAAAAAAATTAGACACTGGCTGGAGGTGACTTTTTTTCTTGGTACGCGGGCCTCTCACTGTTGTGGCCTCTCCCGTTGCGGAGCACAGGCTCCGGACGCGCAGGCTCAGCGGCCATGGCTCACGGGCCCAGCCGCTCCGCGGCATGTGGGATCTTCCCGGACCGGGGCACGAACCCGTGTCCCCTGCATCGGCAGGTGGACTCTCAACCACTGCGCCACCAGGGAAGCCCTGGAGGTGACTTTTATATAAATTAAATGACTACTAAATATTTTAAATGTTTTTATATAAGTTAAATGGAGAGATGCTACAAGGTAGTCACAGATAAAGACTTAGAACATTTTCTTTCCACGCAAACAGCAGATTCCAAACTTCTGTTGAACGAAAGCATGGAGTTCTGGGACTGCGGCCCTTTTTACTTAGCAGTGTAGAATGTTTCCAGGGTTTAGCATGAGATTTGTTTGCCATGGATTATGTCCATGATAGGAGGAATTCCAGTGTCTGTACTGTAGCTTGGCATGCTGATATGCTAGAACAACCAGGAGAATTTCCATAATCACCTTCATTCGTTCACTCATTCATTCATTTATTCCTATCGTCATTGAACCAGTGAACATGTGTTGAACCACCTACTGATGAACATCTCTTTACATCCAGAGTCTGAAAGGCTAAATGGTTTTTCAGACTCTATGGGATTGTGAGACTTGCAGATGAGACAAAACATTGTGGGCACTCAGCAGCACTGCCTCTTTTTTTTTCTTTTTTCCTTTTTTCCCCTTGTGAGAAAATGCAAGAGCAAAGTAGTGCATATGAATGCATAAAGGCCAACTGAAACATGGCAGCTATGACTACTCTGATAAGTCACATCTATTTACACAAGGCTCTAGTTGGCCACATCAAAGAGGCAGAGGCCACTTCTAAGATAAAGGAGAAAAGAGTATTTTAATGACCAACAGTCTGGCATCCTGGGTGACTTCCTACTTTGTTCAATATCCCTTGCTAAGACATTGGCCTCATTGTAAAGAAACGCAAAGGACTCTTTTACACCGGGTCAGCCTCATACCTGACAGAATCCCTAATGGGATAAAGTGTGTGTCCCGAGCTAGAGGTAGAAGATCCCCCTGACTTCAAACAGTAAGCTAGGGATCCTTTGCATGTAGAGCCAGAAATGCCTGTGGTAAGTAGACTGCCAGTGCTATCCTCCTGTGAGTCTTGGCAGCTGCTTTAAGAAGGGAACTCAGCAGTGGATAGAGAAAATGTCTATGGCATTTGAGAAAGATGCTAAACCATTTACATTTAACAATTATAGAAGCAGCCTTCTGTTGAATTCTATTCAGTTCAGCACACATTGCTCGAGGGTCGACTGTAAGCTAGCTGCTGTACTAGGTGTTAATCATTCAGAGACGAATCAGATGTAGCTCCGTCTCACAAGGAGCTCTCACTCTAGTTGAGTTATAAAGGGGACTTATTTGGAACACTTCTATAAGCAGGTATAAACAGAACAGTAGATTCAATACTATGGCTTGTTGTAACACAGCTGGGCTATTTCAAGGTCCAAGCCACTACCTCCAGAAGCCTCCACCACAGCTGAGTTCTGTCATGATATTAGCATTAGAAAGAATTCTCTCTTCGAAAATAGGTTCCCCCACTCATTTAACTCAGGGGTAAATATTTTCACACCCTTATTTTCAGCACTGTAGTTAATTCTTGAGCTGAAGTCCCATCATTAAGGATCATAGGTCTTTTCTTTAGCTTATAAACTGACAGAGCCTCATCGCCATGCTGCTGACAAGCATATGTTGAAACTATCATGGAGCACTGAACAGTGGTACAGCAGATAACACTTTAAAGGAAATTTAAAGTTTAGGATTTTGGTATTTCAAAAAGCTGTGTCCCCTCTTAAGCATATTTCTTGGGCTGTCTCTTAATCAGTGAAATACACCTGGACCTTCTGGCCAACTGGTAAATACCAGTTCCCATTTCCAGCGGAGGAATTTTCCACATATCTTTATGTAAAGTTTTCCCGTGTAAACCATCATGATCTAAAGGAGGCTTGACTTTGCCTAGTAGACACGGAAACACTATAATCTAATGAGAATGGACCCAGCAACATGGCCATACCTTGCATGTGAGGTCTGCACAAACAAGAGGAAACATTCCATTACGCAGGGAGCTCTTTCAGAGTGGAAGACAGGAAAAGGAAGAATGTCAGGTGTCTGAGCAAAATTCCCAGAGAAAGCACTTTGGAGAATACAATTTATCCTTATAATAACAATGGTGACAATGATGATTACTGTTGCAATCCTGACAGTGTCACATAGAACCAAGAATTCTAAGGGTAACAGTCCTGTCATCTAAATTAGACAAATATAAAGCTGAATCCTAACATCGTGGCTGTTGAGGGGAACCTTTATGCATTGGCCTCTTTGACAAACTGCTACTTGAGCCAGAGTCAAAGCTCTCTAGATGACTGCAAAGGAATGTGGAAATTTCATACTGTTTTAGTTATCTCCCATCCTTCTCACCCTCCCCCAACCAGTTGCTAGCTGTATCAGTTTTTTTATTGCTTTAATCTTTCCATGCTCTCTGCTGCCTTCTGTACTTTCATATTTCTTTTGTTTTCCTTTATAAAGTAACCTATTAACCCCTAAAATGTCTACTTCTTAGAAATACTTCTATCTCTGACCGTTGGGAACAAGGTTTTGAGCACACCAAAATGTGTTTCAGTTACAGTCTTAAATAGATGGGCTTGTATTTTAAACACAGGGTGGGTGATTTGGTATCATGTTAATCTTGTTGCAAGGTTTTTGCCCACAAAATAGAAGACAGAGCAATTTAAAATTTTTTTCTCAGAAACGAAATATTTATTTCTCTAGCTTTATCAATTGGTAATTTGCATGTTACCAACATGTCACGAACTGTATTTAAGGTAAAATGTGAACAGGAAAAAATGTAGTTATGTTAAAGTATATATGAATAAATAAAAATATTTGCCTTTATAAGTATAAATGTTTATTAGACTCTGTTAGATATATGTGTTACTTTAGCTGGTTTCTTTTTGTAAGCGTATTTCCGTTAGCTGCCAAGGAGATAATATGGGTAATCTTGATTAGCAGAATCATTAAGCTCATCTGCATAGTTGACCACTCATCTTCTGTTTTGCTTGAGCAATACCAAAACCAAGTCTATAAATTAGCCTATAGCTTCAGGCACAGAATAAGAAAAAATAAAACTAGCCTCTTAGGTTTCTGATTAAACTGTAAGTTATCGATTTTTACTTTTTCTAAGTGTTTTAAAGGAAAAATTCATCGCTCTTCAGCCAACGCTTTTAAAGAGTCTCTGTAGGAGAAAAGGGGGAAACTGATCAAATTGTGTTAGAATAAAGGAAGTTAAAGATTGGTTCAGAGGTAAACGGCACTGAAGTGTGGTTTCGCCAACAGTTTTTCCATTATGTTAGTTTTGATTAGGTTTTTAACCTGGAACTGCCCAAGGGCAGTCAGTCCCTTCATATTCCATCTATGCAATTGGATAGGGGAGACAGTTAACTTCAGTATAGACTGGTGATGGACCCTCAGCCTAGCTCTCTGACCAGTGGATTTTGAACAGTGTAAGCTACTGAGTTAATGATTAGAGATGAGCTTTATTTCAATGAGAAGCATATTTTTAAATTACTTTATTCAAAATAGTCAATTTTCCCATTAAGAAAAAAATTTTTTAATTGCTATACAGAGAAATAGTAGTTTGCTCATATAATAGACTATTCCTAACTCTAACTGTACTTTTACTTCAGAAAGTAACGTCTTCAAAACTAACGTCATTTCAACTTCGAATTCTCAAGGTTTCTTTTTAAATGTCTTACATTTCAGAGAATATTTACTTTTTTTTTTCTTTTTGGTTTCTGCATTTCTCTTTTTTCTACTGCAATTTTCCACCTTTTGTGCAATTGTGAACAAGGTAACGAAACGCCTCCCTTCCTCAGGAACATCTACTATCTTCATGCTTTCTCAAACTTCCAGCAATCACAGTTTCTCTTGGAGTGAATAAGGTGATTTCCTTTCTTAATGTACCAACTTGCTTGCATTCTCATTTGCTTGACATCATTTTCTGATTCTTTATGAAAAATTCTCATGACTCATCTTTACATCTTCTATTGATACTTAAGAATATTTTGTCATTTTCCTTTAATCATTTGTTCACCTTCTCAAATTGTCACACTGGAGAGAAAGTGATTTTCAAAAACTTGGACTGTAGGTCTGTAGTCCCATTGGTTCCTGGTGGCAGTAGAAGCCACAGTGTGTTACAGTTAGTCTGTTCACTAAGACAGGAATGTTTTGCACAAATTTCTCTTTGTTCAGTACACTCACAGTACCGGCACAACTCTCAGAGGTGTTCACCAAAAGGATGGTAAGGTTTACTAATCGAACCATATTGACTTCATCAACCGCATAACTTAACCAGTGTCATTTCAAAAACCCAAGTTTGCCACGTACTATTAATGTCTGTATTCTTCTACCATGAAAACAATTCAACTGGAGTTGGAGACTTTCTTAGGTCTTTAAATGTATTCATTTAAATGTTACGCATTTGCTGTAGTGTAGTCATTTGTGCTTTTGGCCAGAGGAGTAGTCTGTAGGAAATTATTTTTTTCTTCCTACATTTTTATCACCAGGTGGGTTAACCAATCTTCAAATGCTTTAAGTATCTTTACCTCACTATTACAGAGAAATCTGAGCTGTAAAAAGGCATCTGACTCATTATCCACCAGACCTTCAGTCAGACCTCTTCTTTTACGAACATTCTCAGACGAATCTAATATATTGTAACAGGTACCTAGTGTTAAACAAGCGGGCTGGCTTTAAAGAAACAGATTAACAGCATTATAAAGAAAAAATGAAAATATCACTCTCTAAATTTTCTCTGCTGTTGGTGTGGTGAACTTTATACTATTCTTTGCAAAAATATAAAGATGCATTACTTGGAATATGGAGGAATACATATTTTAAATTTGCTAAGCCCCCAAATAAAATTTTAGGCATTTTCCAGAACTGAAGGGCAATACAGTATATTTAATTTATAAGGGGCATGTTGTCATGGCATCATGTGAAAATGCATGTTAATACCGATTAGGAAATATAATTTTGATTTTAAAAGATGATTTGGAAAAATTGAAAATAAATATTCCAAAATTGCATCTGTATAATATCAAGTCAGTTTTAGCACTGCATGTTCTTTTGGGAATTATGTGAAAATAATTCAATGTGTTTGTACTTCCATGTGCTGTGTCTGTGTTTCCATGTATATTTTTAATGTCCTTGTAAATGTCTGATCCCCAAGTATATGTTAATGAACCAATCTACTGTAATCACTTTTTGTAGTGTCAAGTTTTATTCCAGCTAAATGTTTCAACTTTCAGAGGTAAAACCTTTCCTAGCCATTCAGGGGGATGCTAGCCTAATCATATAGAATGCTTCATAATTTTTCCAAAAGTGAGTAAATTAATTTTATAACATTGTTTCATTTACCCCCCCCAAAAAAAAGATTTGGAGGGAATTGATATGCCATGGGAGGAATCCTTGAACTCAGAATGACTCCTCTACGTGTACTCTGTTTCCCACTGCAGGGGCCTCTGTCACCCTAGACCTTTAAAGGTCTTTTATCCATCCATGGGAATGTAGAATAATTCATGAATGAGGTTTACAAGCTTGTCAGCTTGGAAACAACTCTATATGGCTTAGGGCAGGGCTGTCTTTCATGCCCACATAAAAATTAATGATCATCATGAATGACAGTTGCAGGTCAGTTTGCTGTGATGCTAACAATTGTGAGTCCACCTCATAGGCCCATTTTTTCATCACCTGTCAACTTCCCTACCCTCCAGCAAAGAATAAAAATTGAGCTGATGGATTGAATCCATTGGTTCTTCTATCTCCTACTGTTCATCACAGTCTGCATCTGCAGTGTTATTTTGGAAGCCAATTCATTTTGTCTCAGTCTACATACATCCTTTTACCCATCTGGAGTGACTCACCTGCTTATGTTGTCCCTCAGTAATGAATCTGCTTCCCAGTAGCCTTCAAAGTCTTTGACTGTTTTGTTCCAGATAGCCTTGTCCTAAGCTGTGTGATGCATTTTAGCTATACTGTTTCCAGTGAATTTTGTATCCCCCTGGATTGCTTGCCTTAGCTTGGCCTGTGGTTTGGGAGACTAGGCTGGGTAGCAGACACTGCTACTGCTTTTGGTCTCTCCAGGGCCTTAACTCCTACAATGCCTAACACAACTGAGGAAATTTTTTTCAAAAAACGATTGTTTTATTTTTAATGTAGTTATTTCTTCTAGGAATATATTTTCATGTGACATTATTTCTTCTCCAAGGAAAATATTTGGCAATTAGTTTAGCCACCGAGTTTGTCCCTTGGTTGATAAGGGAACTGCCTGACTCATTTTATAAGTTCTCGATGTGAATGGCAACCTTATTTTGGTTAGGGTCACCCTGACCCTGCTACCTGAAGAAATAATATGAGAAAATGGAACATCAAAAGGAATGGAAGGTATTCTAAAGAACTTCTAGTCCAAGTATGGCAAGGAAGGTGCACCTAAAGGGGGAGAAAATAGTACACCCCTTAAGGCCCTCCACTACTCAGGTTTTAAAAAGTTGGATTTTTGAGTGGAGAATCAAGGGTCAGGTTGACTCCCTTGACGTAGGACTTCCACTTCTCCACATACCTGATTTATACTCACTGATAGTTGCCCTATCATGCCCCATCCTGATCATAGCATGTGATAGTGTTTAGAGAACAAAGAAGAATCTACAGATTTCTTAGGGAGATTTCTGTGGTTTCTTTTCTAAAAAGATGATGAATAAGAAAAACAGGAGTCAGTTGACTCATAGATACATGATCTACCAAAAAGAAAACTAACTTCAATATTATAGAGAGGAAACATGTTTCTTTAAGTAAAGGAAAAGTACTTTCATAACAGTCTTTCAAAACAATGTATCTTCAGACTTTGTGATAATTAACAACCAAAAAACAGTCGATGCATTCATTCAACATGTCCTGAGCATCTGCTGTGCGCCAGACACTGGGCTAGGTGCTAGAGATAGAAAGTTAAATAAAATGTCCCTGTTTTCATGTCCCTTCTGTCCCTCACAGACTAGAAGGGATCTTAGTGAGCTAAGCCTCTGCTGTCCTAGTGGTAAAAGTTCTTAAAAGAACCCTGGAGCAATCCAAAAGCAAAAAGCAAGTCTGAATCTATTCAGCTGACAAATGTATAAAGGATTCAAAATTAGTTATTGTGTCACTTTTTTTTTCCCTGCATGTGAATAAAACTTGGCAGCTTTGTTAAAACAATTGTTTTATTCTCATAACAAAATTTACTACTTGATTTATTTTTGAAAATGCTGAACAGGTGGTTTTACATTATTATTAAGATAAAACTTTTAACTCTGTGTATTTTAAATCTTTCAGAATCCGAATCTTGAACTGCCTATGTTATTGTCCTACAAGCATATTGACAGTGGTTACAGCTAAAAGAAAGCATGAAGAAGCAACTACAAAAAGTTATCATCTCAGGATACTTGATATGCAACAAACTAAACCACTATCTTATGTCTAAGGTTCAGAGTAAATGTCCACTAAGATACCAAATGACTCTCTTAAGCATTTACAGTTATCGTAAGTAGCCGTTATGGCCAAAGCTCTAAGTTACGAATTATATGAAGGTTGAAAGCAAGAATATTTAGAATTTCTGGCTTTAGATAGAATAAAATAACTACCAAATGGGTGCTCTTTTAACCCATGAACTCTGAATGGATTTAAATACAATAGTATAAAGTAGAAGTCATGCAATGGGAATGAATAGATTTTGCTAATATTACTTTTTTTGCCTGGCAGAAGAAATAGGCAATTTAGATCACATTTCTTGTTCCTGCTGAATGATAATGTTAAATTATTTTTTTCAACATATGAAAGGAATACTTGAAAATATGAGGACTAAATCAGTGCATCAGATAGTAGTTAATCCTTTCTGTTCACCCACATGCTAATTTTGTCTTGATCGAATATCCTTGCCAACAAATAACTTGAAAGGTGGAAAGAATGTTAACCCTGGGTATTTTTGCAGAAATCAAAAGAAATTATTTATTTTTGTTCTTCTGGATTACACTTAATGAGTGTAAGGCTACTAGATTTGAAAAGAAAGCATTTCCAATCAGTAGCTCCTCAAAATAGTTAAGATAGAATAGATTTTTCCAATATTAGTTTTACTGGGATCTGAGGCAAGATGGGCAGAACCACAGTTACATAAAAATAAAGGCCATTCTGAACATCAGTCTTTTATCATTTTTTTTGTGGAGAGGAAGGAAGAATAGCTTAATTTCAAACTGTTAATGGTTTTTATTTGAAAGAGGTTGCATCTGTGCATATATGCTGCACTTTTTTTTTTTTTAACTTGCCGATTTGGGAGGAGGAAGGGTCCATAGCACAACTCTGAACATGAATGTTGTCTCTCTTAGCAAACTTGGCTAGAGTAATGGTCTAACTCTAAACCACGAGATTCACCTTGGTAAAGTCCTTGACTTACTGGACTAGAGGGAGGCTTTAACCTCCTAAGGAGTTCACCTAAAACATATAAATGTGGTGTGTCTTTATTAAATGTTAAAATTATACACACGCTTTTTTTGGATATAAGTGACTACATTTGACTACTAGATTGGAAATGGTCTTTTAAAAGGTATTTCCTTACCAGTTTCCATTCTTGGTTGTCTTCCTGGCATGCCTGTACTATTATTAGTTTTTATATTGTACCTTGATTTGGAGAAGTAAGTATTAGATTCAATCTATACCAGTGTATTTATAAAGTCCATATGGCACATTTGATTCTTCCATTTATATTTTGTGTTAATGTTTAGGTGTAATTTTTCTTAAATTTTAGAAAGGACATAATTTCAGTTGTCAGAAACCATTCCATCATTACTGACCCTTTTTCATTATTTCCTTTGTTCTCATATATCACTATTATTTTTGAGTATTTTGTTAGGTGCCATCACACCTTCCTAAGTGTGCTGTGTTCTAGTAGTCTAGTATTTGGGGCAGTCTGCTGAAAACCAAGTCAATATATTCTTTACCTATTCCAAAGAGCTAAAAAATCAGACCCAGGAAAGTTTTCGATGTTTTGTTGTTGTTCTTGTTTTTATAGTTGTTGCTGTATTGTTATTGTTGTTTTACGTAAGAATTATAAGGACTGTGAATACAAAGAGCCGACCTTAATTAGAGAGGCTTGTTTAATGCAGACCATGGAGATTTGACATGATCAGAATATCTAGGGTAGTGGAAATATAACTGGTGGCATGTGAAATTCCTTGCATCCTGGAAGAAAGACAAGGGGGATTTAGAGTTGTGTCTAATAAGCTACACATTACACTGCAGCTCAAATTCATGATGGCAGTGATGTGTAATATCATGGCCTAGATCCTTGAGAGGGACCTGACTTTATTTTTTGAAAGATATTTTATTAGTGAGCAAAAAAATTGGTTAGCGTGGGGTTAGCAGATGGAATAACTTGAAGTAAGCCATCCAGTATTCCTATCACTACAATCTAACCACCTTATTTTGTGTCAGAGAAAGGGGTAAAATGTAATAATAGGATCATATACCCATCATTTGAATAATTTCGAACTACAAAACGTCCTTGTAGTTTTCACAGCTGTTCTCCACTGTTTGAGGATGTTACCTACGAAACTGAAAACATAAATTCCCTATCTACCACATTTACACCAGCAACAGTATATAAAATACAAGCCTAAATTTGCAAAATCCATAATAATTTAGTGATGGAATTTTTTAATAACATGCAGTATATAAATGTAGATTTTATGCAAGTGTTGACGAAATCATTTCTCAGCTTGCAAAATGGGACTGCAATATTACATTTTTCACTTCAGCAATTTTTTACATCGTTTTTGCTTTCTATAATGAATGTGAATGCCATCTTTTATGAATGCAACTTGCCTTTTTCATTACAGAAATTTTGTTTGATGTAATCAATAAACTTTGGTATGATATGATTGATATTTTTAGCCTCTTTTTTGGGAAGGTCTCTCTGACGTAAAAGTAATATGGAAGCAATTTGGTGATGGGCAATAAGTTTCTAATTTCCTCTTTGCCTGTACAATTCACAAATGACTGACCATTTCTGCATACGTTCAACTAGCACTTGAGGGCAATACCTAATTTGGGGAGTTTCCGATATTTGTGGGAGTTTTGAATAAGGCTGTATCTGGTTGCTGCATACGTAAAAGTCCAGCCAAATCAGCAAATACGTATTGAAAGTCTGCTGTGTGCTTGGCAGTGCTCACTCATTGGAGGTTGTACGATATATGGTCCCTGTCTGCATCCCATTGAAATCATTTGATTCTTAAGTACCCAAAGATACAGAGATTTTACAGTAGTGTGTGTTTACGCCAAAGGTGTGTGTGTTTACACCTTTCTGTCCCTCACTCCCCTTCCCCTACACCTCTCTCCCCCTCTCCCCATCCCCCTTCCTTCCCTGTGTCGTTGCTCAGCCTGCATCTAAGGCCTTGTGAAAGTCCTTTTCCTTGAAAAACCCTGCCCTCCTTGACTTCTAAGAAACTAAAGTCTCCACTGTAGCTGGTTTCATTACGTTTTTACACTTCAGTCCCTATATTTTTGTAGTCTTTTAATCCTGTTAGTCTTTGACCTACATTTAGAGCATTTCCTCTTTTTTTGTTGTTGTAAAGTGGGAAATGTGCTATATCTGGAGGTAAGACCTGAGTTAAGTTTCAGCTTTGCCACTTGGAGCCATTTCCCTCTCAGTCCTCTTCTCGCCTATAAAATGGTGTCTTGGGGGTGAAGGGTGATCAAATGAGGTAAAAGAACATGATTGCTTTGTAAAATGTCATTTGCTAGTCAGCTGAATGCATTGCTATTTTTCTATTAAGGGGTTTTGTTGTTGCTTTGACATTTTTAATGAATAGTTGTCATTTACCAAATTTTCATAGATATGTCTTAGATTCTTTCTACCTTCTTGGAATTAGTCTGTTCAGGTTTCCTTCCCTTCCCCCATCCAGCCTGTTAAGACGCTGCCTCACTGTGGAGTCTGCCCAGGATTGGCCAATAAAGTAAGTATTGTGAGGGGCTGAGTGGTTTGGCCCCTTCAACAAGAAGCACATGCAAAGGTTAGGGGCTGAGGTTATCACTATGGTTATTCAGTGAATGTGTCCGCAGCTGAAGTGCTGGATGCATACTAATGAAGCTTGAAAGCCTGAGTTGTGGGAATAGTTGTCAGGAAAATGGGGGGCTTAATTATTTCACAACATTTTTTAATTAATTTGACACGTATTTCCCAGCAACTGACGGGTAAGGAAATGTGGCCTCAGTTCCTAGTACGTGGACCTATTGTGGACCAAGCAAGTCCTCATCTCATGGGCTTAGGAGCAAGTGCTATGAGCAGGCCTCTGGCTGAAAGAACAGTGCACCTCTTGGTGGAGCAGAATGCCTGCTAGCCAAAGGTCTTTGGCCCTGGCTCTTTGGGTGGAGAGGGGCAATGGATGTTCATAGCTAAAATGCCTGCTGCTTCTTTGATCTCTTCATCAGTTTGTTAGGATATATTTCCTACCAGTAAAACCACTAAAATCCCAACTCCTCATATAAGCTAACACTTAGATAGCATTTACTATGTGCCAGGCACTGTTCCAATAACTTTACATATATTCGCTCCTTTAATAATCCCGACAACCCTATGAAATAGGTATTAACATTTCTCCATCTGACAGATAAGGAAACTGAGTCACCAGCCAAGGTCACACAGTCTGGTAGAACCAGAATTTAAACCCAGTTCTTCTGACTAGGGTCCAGGCACTTAACCAGGACACTGCATTTCCATCATTATATCACCTTTGATGGCCTGAATAAATAATCACAACATTAATGCAAAATGTTAATGTCAGCCATGAGACAGCATCAGACAGATCCAAACTGAGGGATATTCTACACTTTAACTGGCTTGTAATCTTCAAAATTATTAACATGATTAAAGACGAAGACCCAGAAATTCCCAGATCAAGGAAATGAAGATGACATAACAAGTGCAGCGTACGGTCCTCAGTTGGATCCTGGACCAGAAATTGGACATTAGTGGAGTAACTGATGAAGTTTGACTGTGGTATATAGGTTATATCAATGTTAATTTCCTGATTTTTGAAATTGTGCTGTGATTATATTTGGGGGGATCTGAGTGGAGAGTATATGGGAATTCTTTGTACTATTTTTGCAACTTAAGTCTGAAATTATTTCAAAATTATAATTTGAAAAGTAAAGCTAAAACATAATGAAGCATACTAATATTAATGGGAGAGGGCATTAAATTGAGCTGACTATAGAAGACTAAAATATAATTTATTAACAAATATCTGCATAGCACTTTACCGAATGCTTCTGCATACCTCAATTAATCTTCACAACAGCTCTGTGTAGAGATCATTAAATTCCAGATTCTTAAAGATAAAGAAACTGGGGCTCAGGACTTCCCTGGCAGTCCAGTGGTTAAGACTCTGCGCTTCCACTGCAGGGGGCATGGGTTCCATCTCTGGTCAGAGAACTAAGATCCCACATGCCACGCAGCCAAAAAAACTAAACGAACAAAAAAAGAGAAAAAGAAACTGGGGCTTAGATAAGTTAATTATCTTGTCCCTGGTCCCTCAGGACTGAACCTAGGTCTGATCCACGTGTTTCCCCCTACACTGCACTGCGGCTTGTCTAGGATTCCTAAAGCATGTCCTGCTGGAGTCTACGATCATTTAAAAGAAAATCTTTCTGCAGTCATTTTTCCTGTAGGTTCATCTGGATACGTTGGTCTACCCCAGGTCAAACCATGAATGAGACTCATGCCAATGCCCTTAAGGTTGAGGTGGGTGCCCTCAGAATGCCCTAGGCCCAGGTTTTCCCTTCCATCTAATTTGATGTTGAACTAGGTTTCCCTCATGTTTTTCAGGTGGTTCCCGAGGCAAGTTTTATCCTCCTAAACCAGCTTCCCCCCATCTGAGTGAGAATACAAATAAGCTCCTTCAATTTAATAATGAGGCGTCAGGCTAGCCACCTGGTATCTAAAATACGTACATCGCTTAAAGTAAGAATGTGGGAATGTTGCCGGCAATCTCCATCTCAAATTATTCTACCCCACTCCTAGCAAAAGGCTGGCTGAGATGGCTGTTGTTTAGTATTTCCCAAACTGGGTTGTATGAAGCATTAAGAGTCCTGGGAAATGTTATTAGAAAGTCCTTGAAAAAGGGGGTTCCCTGGTTAACTAACTTTGGGAAGTTCTGTGTATGATTGCCCTAAGTTACAATGCATACTAGAACATTAAACTCTATGAGAGATCTAATATTAAACCCATTTGACTTCTTTTAACCCACTATGTTCCAAATACTGGACCAAGGAAACCTTTTTGCATAGATCACCTAATAACAAATCGTCGGACACCAGTTTTCCATGGAACACCCTTTCTTCCCCACTCAGTTGATGGAGTTCATTTTCATGATCTGAGAAAGATGTAAATGAAGACAGTTTTCAAGGCAAAAGCCTCAAACTCCAAAGTAGAAAGATGGCAGAGGGGCACAGCCAACTGGGGCTCTTTGTAAAGCAGCCCAGAGATTAGAAAGAGTAGGAGGCCAGAACCACTCAGGCTGAGGGGACGAAAAGAAGGTGGCGATCCTGGATGCTGTGGCCTGGTCACTTGGCAGAAACAGGAATCATGGTGGACCTACCTGGAGCGGCTGGAACAACAGCAGACTCAGCCACTGTTAAAGATGCAACCTGAGGTACAAACACCCTGGCTTCTCCCGCCTGCCCCCAAGCCTCCAGCCAGTGCCTGTCACTGGCTGGACCCAGGTGGAAGCCAGCCATCTTGGGAAACAGCTTGAAGGGAGTCACTCCCCATCCTCACAGAATAGAGCAGAGCTGGGAAGTGCGAGCAATGCATCTAATCTGAACTCACTTCTGTAATATATTTAGTGTGATACATACAGATGATAACTTTTATGGATGCATAGCTTAATGGAAGTAGAAGGCCCTTGTATAATAGTCTTCTCAATTAGTAATAATAGACACTTAAGATTAAACACTAGAGCAAAATGAAGGAGTAAGCATATCTAGATAAATTCACCTACATCATATTCAAAATTTAAAATTCACAAGGGTCTGGATAAAATTGCAATATTAATTGCAAAGGGAATAATTTTCCCTCTTCATGTTCCTGCCTCCACCCATAAAATAGGAACTCTCATCCTCCCTGAAGCATGTGGAGCGAGGTTTCTGCCCCTCTCTCCACCCACTTGAGTACTAATGGGTGAGCCTGGAGAAGGGTTTATTCCATGTGTGCGCGTGCACACACGTGTGTGTGTTTCAGCCTGCTCTGCCCCTTCTCTTTTAGAGCTGCCAGCTTCGAGTCTGCTGGTGTTCTTTTCTCCATCCCTGGATCTTCTGTGCAGTGAGCTCACTGGGGACAGGAAACCATACTGGAAGGGTGAAGGGGTGGTTTCAGTTTTCCAGCCACTGAAGTCTTTGACTACAATGGATAAATTCAATTCAGGTATGTCATTTCCACTGCAAGCTAAGCCAAGTTTTAAAATGCAACTTTGCAAATAATAGATTGCTATCTTGTCTGCTTCGGGCACTTCTGTGTTCTTAATGCCTAGAGCAATTCTGGGACCATAGATGCTATTTAACAAACACATCATAAATGAGCAAGTGCATTTTATCTGATTGATGCCTGGGCCTATTTCTCAACTGGCTTGAACTCCCAAGGGAGAGAGAGATGACAAGATGGGGGAGGAGTGTTGTTTGCATTTTCCCCTTTACGTTCTCCATATTCAAACAGATAGCCAGCTCATTACCTTAAGAAGTATATAGTACCAGGAAAACATGAAACAGCCTGCACAGCTTTTGGCTGTGTTGCAAAGGCAGATCATTAAGAAGAATATAGAAGGTTTGCAGAGAAGAGGGCAAAGGGGAGTCATGGGCAGAGAGTGTCTTGGGGAGGAGAAATGAGGAGGGGGCCTTTGAGTGCAAAGAGCAGGCAGAACCTATGTTCTTCTGCAGAACAGCACCTACAGGGTAACAGCAGGAACAGAGAGGACAACAGCCGGGTGCCTCTAGGGAGACAGGATCCTAGCCAGCCAGCCTTGGCAGAGACTTCCAAGCCTCCACATGGCAAGAGCCAGGAGAGCTTCTGGCTGTGGGAGACACTATGTAGATTGGGATGATGGACCTCTCGGGTATAAGTGTGGATGATGACTGAGGACCAGACAGGTGCCCTTGTCCATCTCCAACACCTTGGCACAGCATTAGCTCCAACAACCGTAGAACAGCCCTGAGGAGGGAGACCCATGGAAGGACAATTTGCATTCATTCATTCATTTGCTCACTCATTCATTTATTAAGGCATCCTGGCAGGAGGGGGACTAGACAGGGTTAGAAATTGAATTTACTTTTCAAATATATTTGTTGAACGCCTCCCCCTGCCTTTGCTACATTTCCTTAACAGCTGCCTTTCACATTGTTTTTAAGCATTATCTCTTTCATCCTGCACTGTCAGTTTCTACATAATTAGATTTTCCAGATAACACCAAGTCACTCATTTAAGCATCAAAACTTCTTCCTTAGTGGAAATCTTTTTACAATGTGCTGCACTCTTCTCTTCCATATGCAGAGGCACCGGATACCACGTCACCTTCTCCTGATGACACTGGGTCATTTCTGGAGTTCCAGCACAGTGCTGGGCAAGAAGTGCCGTGGTTCCCACGTTTGTGCGCCTCCGCATTGCATGGCTTTAAGAGGATACCGGATTTCTTTCTATAGTCCTGGCACCTCCCTTGAAGCTCTCACCATCAGCTATTAGTTTTTTATGTTTTGTTTTGTTTTGTTTTTGCGGTACGTGGGCCTCTCACTGCTGTGGCCTCTCCCATTGCGGAGCACAGGCTCCGGACATGCAGCCTCAGTGGCCACGGCTCACGGGCCCAGCCGCTCCGCGGCATGTGGGATCTTCCCGGACCGGGGCACGAACCCATGTCCCCTGCATTGGCAGGCGGACTCTCAACCACTGCGCCACCAGGGAAGCCCAGCTATTAGTTTTGCTATGTGTATAGGTCCACATCTACTCTCTACCTCTTAACTTCCCCCACCGGTTTCTTTTTAAATTATAACATGTAACCGACTAGAGGGCTTCCCTGGTGGTGCAGTGGTTAAGAATCCGCCTGCCAATGCAGGGAACACGGGTTCGAGCCCTGGTCCTGGAAGGTCCCACATGCCGCGGAGCAACTAAGGCAGTGCACCACAACTACTGAGCCTGCTCTCTAGAGCCCGCGAGCCACAACTATGGATCCCACGTTCCACAACTACTGAAGCCCACGTGCCTAGAGCCCGTGCTCCACAACAAGAGAAGGCACCGCAATGAGAAGCCCGTGCACCGCAACGAAGAGTAGCCCCTGCTCACCGCAACTAGAGAATGTCCACGTGCAGCAACGAAGACCCAATGCAACCAAAAATAAAAAATAAGTAAAATAAATAAATTTATTTTTTAAAAAAATGTCAGAGTCAGATCTCATGTTTTTAGTACAGTTCAGCAGGATGTGTATTCGTGGGAGAACTTCCACTCAGACTTCTCCAATAATTAAACTCATGTGAGCCATCACAGGACAAATGGTTGTGCTATTTAAAACAAATTATTACCTTTAAGGATGAACATGTACTATTGAAATCTAAATATAAATTTGCTTTGAATTTTAATTGAGTAGTACTATTGTTTAACAGGTAAAATTGATGTGAAGACTTCAGAAAGTGTTTTTTTTTAATTTCTATTTATTTATTTATTATTTTTGGCTGTGTTGGGTCTTCATTTCTGTGCGAGGGCTTTCTCTAGTTGCGGTGAGCGGGGGCCACTCTTCATCGCGGTGCGCAGGCCTCTCACTGTTGTGGCCTCTCGTTGCGGAGCACAGGCTCCAGACACGCAGGCTCAGTAGTTGGGGCTCACGGGTCTAGTTGCTCTGCGGCATGTGGGATCTTCCCAGACCAGGGCTCGAACCCGTGTCCCCTACATTGGCAGGCAGATTCTCAACCACTACGCCACCAGGGAAGCCGCAGAAAGTGTTTTTTAATAAAGTAAGAATACCTCTTAAATGACAAAAATATTAGGCAAAAATTCTTTATGTAATTTGTCAATATTCCTGGAAGCCTTTGAAAAGCCTTTTTCTGACATTTAAATTATCTGTTCTATTGAATAATTTTGGAACCAGAAAGGGATGACAGATTTTTATCTTGTTTTCTTTTCATGCCTTAAAGTTGGCCTGTATATAAAATTTAAATAGCAATTTTAACTTTTTTGTCAATCACTGAAGTGTCATCAAGGGCTGTGAGTAACAATGACCCTCCTTTTGGTTTTAAGAAATCTTCTGACCATTTGATTGAAAACAGTGTCTAATCCAATGTTTAGATTTCAGTGGGTTTTTTTTTTTCACTTTGATTATCCTTGTGGTATTTAAAGTGCAATTTTGTCTATTTGGAATTTTTCACGATAGAGGTATGAAAGAACACATCGTGCAAATGTAACCTGTTAACCTTATTTCATGAGTAGTTTGATATTGAAAGCCAAGACATATTTTTTCACACTTATTAAAAAACTGTTGCCAGTGGGAAACGAGTATACTTTAAGGCTTAGTAAAAAAAATATTCAAAATTATAAACAGTATGATCATGGTTCTGAAGAACCTAGGGGCAAGACAGGAATAAAGACGCAGACCTACTAGAGAATGGACTTGAGGACGTGGGGAGGGGGAAGGGTAAGCTGTGACAAAGCGAGAGAGTGGCATGGACATATATACACTACCAAACGTAAAAGAGATAGTTAGTGGGAAGCAGCCACATAGCACAGGGAGATCAGCTCGGTGCTTTGTGACCACCTAGAAGGGTGGGATAGGGAGGGTGGGAGGGAGACACAAGAGGGAAGAGGTATGGGAACATATGTATATGTGTAACTGATTCACTTTGTTATACAGCAGAAACTAACACAACAATGTAAAGCAATTATACTCCAGTAAAGAATTTAATAAATAAATAAGAACAGTATGATCTCAAAATGACTGGGGGAATGTCATAAAATTAACCATGGTGGCCACCGGATGATGTCATTAATGCTGGGTTTTGCTTTTCTGTTTTTTTATGCTTTTCCATAGTTTGCAAATCTTCCACAATGAGCATGTATACTCTCATAATAAAAAAAAAAGCAAACACAAAAAATAACAAATAAATCAAACAGTTATTCTCCAAGAATAAAAGTGCCCCATTTCTGAGGTAAGAGCTTTAATCTGAAGTCCTATTTTAACTCTGTCAGTGAAGCCTTTCTGTTTGAATACTGAAATACACATTGTGGATCCATAAAAGCTGCTCATTTGTGCAAAACATGGTGCAACTGAAGTGCTATGCAGAACACCAGGGCTGTGATATTTCTGTTCATTTGCACGTTTATTTTCAAACACAGCAAGCTTACATGATACAGTAACTGAGGACAGCTTGCCTGCGAATTACAGTGATGTGAGTGATGCACTTTGAGTGTCTCTCACCGTCCATCTTCTCTCTACCCTTCTCCAGCTTCCATACGTCAGCAGGCAGTGTGATGCTGTTCTGGTTCCATTCTCTGTGCCCTGGTTTGAGAATACGATGATACTACAATGCCAGTGAATGTTCACTGTGAGTTTGAGAAAAAGAGGTGACAAAAAGTTAAATGCATGATCCTAGATATCCTAAAAGAATATAAGATGACAAATTAATGAGTAACTTTGTACTTTCAGCACAAGAAACAAACCAAGAAGCCAATAAAACCCATAAAACTATTTGTTCAAATGGAGAAAAATATCTACCATGATTGTATTGTAAGAATAATTTTGGAAAGATAATTTTAGAAGATTATCGCATTTCAGGCAAAAATCCATTTGGGTTGACCTGATGTTTTCCTAATTTAATAAGAGTATTATTTTTTCTGATTATATATGATGATGCATTGTCAAAATTAAGCAATACCTAATAGGATGTCATGTAATATCCCACCACACTCCTTTTAACCATGTTCTTCAGACTCTCTCTATGCAAACATACACACATAACATGGATATATACACACACACACACATATATGTATGTATAATTTTGTATAAATTGAACCATGATATACACACTGTTTTATGTGTGTGTGTATGTATATATATATTTTTTTAACCAAAAAAAGCCATGAAGACCTTTTCACATTATTTTATTGATTTCATGTACATGCATTATTTTACCATTGCCTGCTTAATGGCTATTTAGCTTTCTCCTTTTCCTCCTCCTGCCTGCTACTGTGAATGACGTGTCAATGCACCCTCAACCAAAATATTTGCACACTTACCGCATTAACTTCTGGTATAAAATCAAAGATGAGGAATTCCTGGGGCAAAGGATGTGCATATTTAAAATCCTGATGTGGGGAATTCCCTGGTGGTTCAGTGCTTAGGACTCCTTGCTCCCACTTCAGGGGGCACAGGTTTGATCCCTGGTCTGGGAACTAAGATCCTGCATGCCCCATGGCACGGCCAAAAAAAAAAAAGACGTTGAAGACTATGTGACAGAAACTGTATGCTGTATGTGGCCCACAACATGGAAACTTCTACTGTCTAGATCTTTACAGAAGAAGTTTGTCGACCATTGGTTTAGAGGAAAAATAGTGCTTTATTCTTGGTAGTATTTGCTTTGCTTTTGTGTGAGTTTAAGTATTTTAAACACGTAGATGTTTGTATTTCTTCTTTTGGCAATTACATTTCCTTTGCCCATTTTCCTATTCAGTTGCTCATCTTTTTCTTCCTTACTTGTAAGAACTCTTTATATATTAGGAAAACGTACATTTTGTCACATATTTTGCGAGTATTTTTTTCTCTGTGTCCAATTACCATTACGTCAGGCATTTTTTTACATTACAAAGGAAGTTTTAATGAGCATGTAATCAATGCAAGTGTTCAGAGAATGACAGCGTGCTACTTTAGATATGGTAGTGAAAGAGGTTCTCTCTGACATGGTGACATTTGAGCGGAGAATTGAAATAAGCAAGAGAGAGATATGTGGATGAACTTATGAGGGTTATTCTGGCACTGGGAACAGCAAATGCACAGACGCTGAGACAGCAGCTTACATGGCATATTGGAGGTACTGCCAGGAGATTGGTGTGACCAAAATGGAGGGAGAGTGGTAAGAGTTGAAATTAGAGATGTAGGGAGGGAGAAGATGATATAGAACCTTGTAGCCATGGTAAGGACATTGGATTTTATTGTAATTGCGATGGAAGTTTGGAGCATTATGACCAGAGTGACATGATCTGACTTAAGTTTTAAAAGGATCCCTTGAGTCTAATTTTGTTGTCTATTTAAAAATATTTTTTTATATTTCTTATTATAAATTAAATATATGTCCATCTTCAAATATATAGATGATATAGAAAAGAATAAAGAACGAAGTGTAAGGGTAGTAGTATTTTAATAAGCCTTTAGGGATATATATAATCTTAAGATTGGGAAGTACCTTAAAGATCTGCTGCTCCAGCCCCCTGTATATTTTGAACAAAAATATTTTGCTTTGATTTCTTTATACTAACAATGAAATATCAGAAAGGGAAAGTAAAGAAAAAATCACATCAAGAAATAAAATACTTAGGAGTAAACCCACGCAATGAGGTGAAAGACTTAAACAGAACTATAAAACATTGATAAAGGAAACTGAAGATGATTTAAAGAAATGGAAAGATATCCCATGCTCCTGGATTGGAAGAATTAAATTGTTAAAATGGCCATCCTACCCAAAGCAATCTACAGATTTAATGCAATCCCTATCAAATTACCCATGACATTTTTCACAGAACTAGAACAAATAATCCTAAAATTTATATGGAATCACAAAAGACCTAGAATTGCCAAAGCAATC